AAAAGAGGAAGACCCCCAACGAGATGGATCAGCCAGGTGGCATCATTGATGGCGTCAAGTGTGGCGGCGGTAGTGAGGTTGGCCCAGAATCAGACATTGTTTCGTTCTGCTGTGCATGGGGTCGCTATGAGTCGGTTCCGACTCGATGGCACCTGACAACAAACAATTTCCCAAACAAACCCCATAATAGTGCATATTGTGTGAGTTCTGTGTCGCCATTGCAACGGGTTATCCAACCGCGCACAGTGCAGTGTCGTGGGAGGGACGGCTGATGTTGGACCAGCGTACAGAAGGTTGGAGGGTGGAGGCACCACCTCTGCCTTCTAGTAAACAGCCTCAGGCTGCTGGTTCTCCTCTTTGTTGTGAAGTCAGAGGAGGTCAGACACTGCCTCTGCACGACTTTTTTTTTTCAAGTTTTTACTGTGAATTGAGTGATAGTTTACATGAGAGAAGATTGCTTTTACACTTTCTCTTCATCGCAGTGATTACAATTCCCTCCGTGCATCATCATTCAACAGTATTAGTTTCTATTTCCTCTGTTTTTTTGAGGGGGGAGGTGTATACAAAAAACTCAGAAATATACAATCATTTAAACAACCTAAGGGCACATTCTTCAAGACTGCCTCCCGGCCACCAACACCCAGCTCCACATGACTTTTTAAAAAACAACAACATTTCATTGTGAATTGAGTGTAGGTTTGCAAAACAGATAACCAGTTTTACATTCAACAAATCATACACTTCTTTTTGTTTCAATCGCTTGCAATCCCTTCCATGTAACATCCTCTCTGCTCCCAGTCCTAAAGTTGGTTTGCTTGCCTGTGACCAACCCAATCTTCATTCTGCTCAATCTCAGCCTGTCCTGGAGACCACAGGTGGCCAATGACTGCAGGTTGGTTGATTTATCACATCTACCTTGCTTACCTGGCAGACACACTTATTCCTCGACAATTACCTTCTGGAATCCCAACTAGCCCTCACTGTTTGAGGGGTGATAGACTGTGAGGTGCTCCGGATTCCCCAGCATGAATGAATGGCTGGGGGTGAGCACTGAGCCATTCTCATGGAAACAGTATAGCTAATAGTTTCACCTTGGATACATTTTAGAAAATAAAATGACAATGTTAAATGATAATGTGTGCATGCCAGTGCCTTTCTGTGCAACACATTTGCTTTGTACAATTAGCACCTTTCCCTCTCATTGTCCAAAGTGCATGGCTTAGAACTTTACTATGCACAACCTTATTGTATAACTATTGTAATCATGTGGTTTTTAAAGTTTTTTTTATTGTGAATTAGATGAAGGTTTACAGAGCAAATCAGTTTCTGTTCAACGATTCAGACACATTTTTGTTTCATGTCATGGATTGTAATCCTCAAACATAACATCACTTATCCCACTTCCTCCCTTCATTTCCTGTTTTCAGTCCTCCTTCCTTCCCAACACTTCTGAACTTTGTCTTTGTGTGAATGCTGCCCTATGATCTCAAAGAGTTGATTATTCTAAGGTGTGCACACGTCTCTAGTGTTACTGTTCCCTCCAGGTTGTTTTAGTTAAGTGCAATCAAGTTGTTTCGGACTCATAGTGACCCTGTATAGGGACTCTGAGGAGCAGCTGGTGGATTTGAACCACTGATCTTGTGGCTAACATTCTAGTGCTTATCAAGGTCCTTGTCCTCTTATAGACTTGTCTATTATTTGGCTGAAAATTGAGCCTTGGAGGTGAGTTCATTTCCAGATCTGAAGAGTGCCGAAGGTCTATAGTTTCAGGGGTCTCACTGGTCCTTATCTAACCGGTAAAAAAATCATGTATGTTCTATATGTACAACCAGACTTTAACCTTCTAGTGGGGAGAAATACCTTTTACATCCCCAACGGTTTCTAGTTGTTGTTTTAAATGTTGCTGAGTTGGTTCTGACTCATAGCGACCCTGTATAGGGCTTCCGAGGAGTGGCGGGTGAGCTTGAACTGCCGACCCTGTGGTTTAAACAGACCTCGCAGTCCAGAGCACTAACCCGCACAGAATGCCATGACTAATCCATTAAAGTGCACAGGAACAGAGTTCACGTCTGTCAGCTACACTACACATCATTCTTTCCCTGGGTTCTTCAGATGCTGTCTGCAGACATAATTCTGGTAGTAACCAAAAGCTCAGAGATTTTTCTTTTTCCAAATTGACAAAAATAAAATACCCGTGTGATTTTAAATCAGCTGTATTTGCCCTGGGTTATTTGGTAAATCCCTGACAGTTGTTTCCACTAAAGAAGACAAGGGATCTAGAATTTGTGGTTTAGAATATGCATCTGCACGGGGCGGGGGCGGGAAGGAGAGAGCACAGACGGGGCTCTTCTGCCGTTGTTTGTGTTTCTTCTCTAATGAGGCATACAGATGTTAGTTTTCATGCATGGTTTTCAGAGCTGAACAAAGCTACATTAACTACTCATTCGGTACTTTATTCTTGCTTGGTTGCTCATCCTTCTTGCTTTCAGTTTGATGTGGGGTGAAATGAATGAAGCTTCTCAGGTTGGGGTCTTTGACTTGAAGATGCTTCTTACCTTTTGTGATGTTTGTACCCATCTCACCACTTGAGGAGGTGACCTCCCATTTACTGCTGAAAGGCTTCTTGTAGTCTGGCTTTATGGCCCAGACTCCAGGATGTTTCTTCCTATATTTGGGCTCTTTGAGAGGTGACAGACTTTCAAATGACTTCTGGGACACAGTCTGGAACCATTCTGAAGAGTTTATCACAATATCTTTTTGAGGTAGTAAAAAGGAATGTCTGGGTGTTGCACATGAGGAGCTGGTCTGCTTTAAATTGCTGCAGGTAGTTGTCTTTAGTCTAGGGAAGAAAGAAAACAAATGTGGTTTTGTCCAACTTATAGTCTACTTTGTACTTCCCTACAAAGGAGTCCTGGTGTGGTGCTTCCAGACTGCAAAGCTATTTGAACGACAAGGTTGGTGGTTCAACCTCACTAGTCACTCCTTAAAAACCCTATATGGAGTCGCTATGGGTCGGAACTGATTCGACGGCACTTAACAACAACAACAACATATTGGTCACAATATACATCCTTTTTTAAAAACCTTTGGTGGGTTCATTCTCCCTTGACTATTTTTATTGTGGTAAGAATATATATAACAAAACATTTGCCAGTTCAATAGTTTTGAGATGTCCTTGATTATGTTTATCATGTTGGGAAACAATACCCACTATCCTTTTCCAAAATCTTCTACCACTGTTAATAGAAACTCAGCATGCCCTACACAATGACTCCCCTTTTCTCCTTACTTTCCACCCCAGGTAACCACTAATGAACTCTGGTACCTATGTTGTTATTGTTGTTATGTGCTGTGAGGTTGGTTCTGACTCATAGCGACCCTGTGCAGGGTTTCCTAGGCTGTAAATCTTTACGGGAGCAGAAAGCCTCATCTTTCTCCCACAGAACAGCTGGTAGTTTCGAACTTCTGACCTTGAGGTTCACAGCCCGATTCGTAACCACTATGCTCCTTATAGATCCCAATTTCATGTAAGTGGAATCACACACTGTTTGTCCTTTTGTGACTGACTTATTTCACTCACTGTGATGTGAAGTATAAGAACCTTACTTCATTGTCTTATGTTGGGCTTTCTAGAGAAGCAAAACCAGTGACGCTTAGATGTATGTGTGTGTTGTTGATAAGGGCTGTCGAGTCAGTTCCAGCTCATAGTGACCCTGTTGAGGGTTTCCAAAACTGTAATTCTTTGCGGGAGCAGAAAGTCTTATCTTTCTCCCCTGTGGGAGTGGCTGATATGTTCTAATTGCTGACACTTTTATAAAATTGTTGTTGATAAGGACTGTCGAGTCAATTCCAACTCGTGGCAACCCTGTATAGGGTTTCCAAGGAGAGGCTGGTGGGTCTGAACCACTGACACTGCAGTTCAAACCAACCTTGTGGTCTAGTGCTTATCCTACAACACCACATCAGGACTTCTAGTACCAGAAAATATGTTAATATTCAAGCAAGTAAAATTTTTCTGAAGATAATTTATAAATGGTTGCAATAGTACATTGACAGGAAACTGCCAGAAATTCAATCTGGATTCAGAAGAGGACATGGAATGAGGAATGTTTTTGTCTGGATCTTGCTGAAAGCAGAGAATACCAGAAAGACGTTTACTTGTGCCTTATCAACTGTGCCAAAGCTTTTGATGTGACAATCATGGCAAACAATGGGTAACATTGTGAAGAATGGATATTCCAGAACACTTACTTATGCTCATGAGGAATCTGTACATAGACCAAGAGACAGTCAGTAGAACAGAACAAGGGGATACAGAATGGTATCCTGTACATTTTTTATTGTATCCCGTCACAATAACCATAGAATAATTGATGTATTTGAGTTATGGTGTTAGAGAGAATATTGAAAGTCCCATGGACTGCCAAAAGAACAAACCAATCTGTGTGTTGAAAGAAGTATACCCAGAGTGCTTCTTAGAAGACAGGCTGGCCAGACTTCATCTCTCATACTTAAGACATATTATCAGGAGAGACCAGTCACTGGAGAAGGACATCATGCTTGGTAAAGTAGAGGGTTGGAGAAAAAGAGAAAGACCCCCAGTGAGATGGATTGGAACAGTGGCAACAGCAAACGGGCTCAATTGTAGCAACGATTGTGAGGTTGGCACAGGACTGGGAAGTATTTTGTTCTGTTGTGCATACAGTAGCTTTGAGTCGCTACCGACTTGATGGCGCCTAACAACCACCACTACCACCACCATCTGGATATGAATAGCCATGTAAGCACACACAAACATATTCCCAATAGTGATTATCTCTGGATAGTTAGAATATTGGCAGGAAAAATATTCTTTATGATTTTTGCTCCTTAAATATCAATTATTATGGTGTTGTAGGATAAACACTGGACTGCTAGCCACAAAGTTGGCAGTTCAAACTCATCAGCTGCTACCCAGGAACCTTATAGAGGGTCGCTATGAGTCGGAACCAGCTCAAACGACACCTAACAACAACAAAAACAATAATCACAAAATCAATAAATTTATTTAAAAAAACAGGTGATCAGTGGCAGTTTCTCATGGGATGGGGTACTACTCAGTCTGAGGACGGTAGCCCCTGACACAGGAATTGAGTCTAACGGTTCCACTAATAAGAGAAACACAAGGCCATCATGCAGCCCAGGCAAACAAGGACTTGAGGAGTATGATGTTGTTAAGTGTTGTCCAGTTGGTTCCGACTCACAGCGATCCTGTACAGGGTTTCCGAGGCTTTAAATCTTCAAGGGAATAGAAAGACTCAACATTCTTCTGCAGAGCGGCTGGCAGACTTGAACTGCAGACTTTATTGAATATAACATGTCAAGGGCCATAAGTGAGAAAGGCTGTGTGTCTGTGGATAGGAGGCTGGCTTGCAAAATGTGCTCTTTGGACATTTAAATGAATATATGTTTTTTGTTTTGTATCTGTATGTCAAATATTTTTGCTTTGTTCATTTGTGAAAAATAAGATGTAAAAGGGAAATCCCAGGAAGGAAGGAAACAGGGGAACTGTTACTGTAGGGAGGGGATTGTAATTATTGAGATGAAACAAGGTGTATGATTGGCTGAAGATAGAGTTGATGATCTTATCTATAACCTTCATTCAATTTACAATAAAAAGTTAGAAAAAAAAATCAGCAGACAAAACCCAGCTATGTAATAAATCCGCGTATGAGTAACTAGACACATTGGACCTGACAGGAGGCTAAGAAGTTGAGGGTCGAGATATGGACAAGGGGCCTGGGTAAACAGTTAAGCCATAGCTGGATTTTTAGTTGTTACCCAGAAATGGCACTCAATGTGGACTGAGTATGAAGGTGTAGACAAATGCAGATTGCATTAATTAAAACTTTTTGGGATACAAATAACAGAAAACAATTCAAATAGCCTTAATCAAAAAGCATAGGATTGGGGCTGGGCTGGGTAAGGTGGGGGAAGAATTCTAAGAAAATAGGAAGCTGCTCATGAGAATAGAGGAGGGGCGTGCAGCTCAGCCCGGTTTCAGGCAAGAACCAGACTGGACAGGGGAACAGTACCACGACTTGTCATCTTCAGTCCCTACCGAAACATTCACAAAGTCACAGCCTCCAGTTTCATGTAGTATTTTGGGCATGTGATCAGAAGGAACCAGTCCCTGGAGAAGACATTACGCTTGGTAAAGTAGGGAGCCAGCAAAAAAGAGGAAGACCCCCGAGATGGACTGACATAGTGACAGCTGCAGTGGGCTTACATGTGACAATTGTGAGGCTGGTGCAGGACAGAGCAGTGTTCGCTTCTGTTGGGCACGGAGTCACTAGGAGTCAGAGCCGACTCGATGGCACCTAGTAACAGCAATAGTTTCATTTACTAAACTGACTCTCAGCGTTTATCCCCAAATTTAAATGACAGGAACAGAGAGACGTTGGTTGGCTGAATTCAGGTTAGGAGCATCCACACATGGTCCAATCAACATGACAGTGAGTGAATGCCACATAATTACATGCATGGCCTTAGGGACCCTACCCTCGTGGATCTTGAGGAGCCCCCCGAGAAGGGCAAATTGTGCTTGGGACAGACACCCCCAAAAGTATCTGCTAGAGGTATACATGGAATATGAAAGAGTAGGAAAGCAGTAAGCAACATTTTTCTTAATAGATAACTGAACTGTATATTTAAACATTTTCAAAATGCCATTTTGGATGAGCATCTTATTGCTTCATGGCTGCCTTTCCCCCGCTTTACATCTGAATGCAATTTTAGGACGGGAACTTCAATTGTCTGCTCTTTTCTTAAGCCCGAATGAATAGGATCTAAAGGGCTTACCAATCAGCATCATGTTAGCAAGGTGATCTACCAGACCAAAACCAAACCCAACGTCACTGAGTCAATTTCGATTCATTGTTGTTATTGTTAGTTGCCATCGAGTTGATACCGACTCATAGAGACCCTATGTACAACAGAAAGAAAAACAGCCCGATCCTGGGCCAACCTCACAATTGTTGCCACACTTAACCCCAATCCATCTTGCTGGGGGTCTTCCTCTTTTTCT